TTTAAATAATTTCATTTGCGTGCATGTACTATCTCTTAGGACTGCATCTTTACAAAATAATGTCTAGTTCAAAAAGTGACTTGGGTGTCTGCTAATTATTAAGATTGTTCACATACGTCAAGATTTTTTTCATTGTCAAAGTTGGGATAATTACTGTGGCTTGTTGCATGAGTTCCAGGAGTTGCTCTTCATGTACATATTATTTTTATGACATCATTCACATTAAGAATGGGAAGAAAGTGGTCAGCATGAAACTGGAGGCTGTTCAGAGACACTGAAAAGGTGGAGGGAACATTTCAAAAAGATGACAAAAGAGAAATAACAGTAGGCAAAACGAATAACAGAAAAATGGGAACACATTTGTATTTGTATACAAAAACATAAAGACTGAGCTTTAAAAGTTGGTATGTTTTTCTGGAGAAAGACAGCAAAAGAAGTCCAGAGAACATGATCGGCTACTTCTAAATTAGAAACGTTTTCCAATACCACCACCAACTTATCAACTTATTTTGTGACACAACTCTATATTTTAATCAAGTACTCAGGCAGAGTACTGATTTTTGTCTGAATGCAGAGGTCATTTTTTCTTATACCGAAGTCACATTAACTTGTGCTCCTGTAATGGATTCTTTTCACAGCCATTTCCCACCCAGTCTCATGTTCTCTCTCTCCTCTGTGCTAACCACTTATTTTCTGAAACACCCAATTCATTGTTAAGTGTTGCATAAGGTCAACAGCTCTGCCATTAAGTGGTTAAGGCCATGGTGACCTTGCCCTTTTTCCTCAATCATAGGATTACACTGCATGTTTGGCAGCTTGCTAAGCTAAATAATGTGACATATGCATATTTTTCTAATTGTCGGCTGTCTGTAGACAAAGTACTGAAGATTTGATTTATTGGGTAGTCTTCCATCAAGATTAAGCTGAAACACTCTTAATAAAGTATTATAGCCAACTGTGGTTCTAGAAAGTCCACCAGCGTTTGCCTCTGCTTGACAATTAGTAAAACTATGATTTTTTTTTAAGATTAATTTTTTTTTATTTTAATAGCCTCGGGGCTTAATCTCTTCATGAGTAAAAACAGCTTCAAATATTTCAATATAGATTATACCTAGAAATAGTTTCTAATACGAATACAAATAATGATATGTATTCAAACCTCTGCTTTCTATCTTTCTTTATTCTCTGAATATTTAAGTGTAGCCACACAAAGTTTAGGCTTTCTAGTGTTAGTAAATGAGTGTTTGGTACTTTACTATCACTTAACTTTCAATATATTCTTGTGTGGATTGAAAAAAGTCATTATCCCTCAAGAATACTCATTTTTTTTCCCAAAGAAAAGGAAAATATAATTATGAAAGTAAATTAGAAGACAAAAGGAAAAGAGAAAATAAATTTTTGAAAGTTCTGTTTGCTTTGGAGATTCTGAAGATAGCTGAGAAATTTAACTTGACACTTCTTTAGTTTACACAAGGATGCCTTAAATTATCATAAGATTATCACTTCCACATGCATGGCTAGTATTTCTGAAACAATATTTTGAGAGGCTCATTTCAGAAAATAATAATGATTCTGGATTAATGAAAAACTTCAGGGTCAGAAGTTAGGAAATTATCACTCTTCTCCCAGTTCTATTGTTAACCTGATACGCAGACTTTAGGAAATTATTTTATCCTTTCCTCTCTTTCCTGTTAAAAACCACCTTCTTTGAAGGTATTGTAAAAGTAAACATTGGTTTGATATTGCTAAATAAAAGCAAAATCAAGTTGGCAGTTCAAAACATGTTCTCGTAAGCAATTCTTTATAATCACTGTCGGTCACATGAGAATCATTTATATATTGTTCCTGGCAATACTCACTGGTAAAAAAGTCATCTTCCCAGTTTTCAAAATCTTATCTAGAAAAGTTGGAATATCAGTCCTTCAGAAAGTAGATAAATCTTGCCATCATGTCAACCAAAACTAATACGTGAGATAAGCATGGCAATTTCCATACCTCGTTCTTTAAAGGGCACTTTAGCTTATCTTGGTATCTGATATGTGCTGTGCAATGAAAATGGATGTCTGATCTCTGGACTAGCACCTTTCTCTCTCAAGAGCAGTAATGTCATTGCTTTTGGCTGCCACAAAGTGGCAGTGTGCCCACTAACTTCTCCATGAGCACACCCAACCTTGGCCTTCAGAATGAACCTGGGCAGAGCTACACCTCAAGATTAGGGTCGCCAAATAAAGCACAGGAAGTCTGGTGAAATTTGAATTTTCGATCAACAACAACCTATGTATAGGAAAAAATTATGCAGCATTTATCTGAAACTCAAATTGAACTGAGTGACTTCTATTTTTATTTGCTAAATCTGTCAACTCTACTGGATAGGTTTGACTTATAATTATGTCATCTTTCTAAGTTGAAATAGTTTCCCTTAATGTTTTATTTAGTGATCTATAGTTATTGAATTATAGAAACTTTTTAGTGAAGGAATTTATATTTCCCCCTCTACTTGACTTCCATTTATCACATAGTACGAGATTCACATGTTTAGTCTCATAAAAGAAAGCTGGCTGTGTCACTGATATGAAACTAACAAGTATTTATTGATGAGACAATGAATACTTTGGTGCAATGTCTTGTGGGCCGAGGAAGTTAGAAAAAGCTGTGAAGAAAGGTTAGGAATTGACCTCAATCTTTCAGGAGTGGGGTAGGGGAGAGAATTAGATGGCTAGAATGGATATAAAAGAACCTTTTAGATGTGTGGGCAGAAATTTTCTATAGCAAAATAAGTGTTTTAAGTCAACCTAAAAGGTTTAGTCCAAGGAACTAGTTAGAATATTGGAACATTAACACACTTTATTACTCATTCTAGTGCCCGAACAATCTTGGCATACTACATAGTCACTCATAATGAATTAAATTATTTCAAGACTAAGAATAGCACTGGGGTAGACTGAGTGATGTTTTCCATTTTTAATTAACTTGAAATTTGCTTCTCTACTTTTAATGAAATCATGCCAAGCTTTCCCAAATTTCAGCAAAACCCAATCATGACTTTTATTACATCAATCCTATGTAATTGTTATATAAAATTATGTATATTAGTTGTTTGCTCCAATATACTGGGTTTAAAAGAGTTTTCTTCTTTGTCTGATGTAATCAAAGGCAGTTGAATTTTAAAACTTTCTAATTTAATACAAAGGGTCCCATAAAACTTTGCCTCCAATCTCACTCTACCAGAAATTTCATATCAAAGGCAAGGTTTGTGAGCCTTCCCTTCCAGTTCTCAGGAAGTTGAAACATGTGCCCTAGATTTGAACTCCTGTAAGACCACAATCATCTATGCTTCTAATTCTCATCAAGTATATTCTGTGTAGAGGAGCTCCATATTTTCTTATAAATCCACAGGGTAAATAAATCATCATTTCTTATTATAAGGACAAGATAGGGAAAGAAAACCTGTGCTGTATTTTGAATAGTGAATCCATAATTAAATCTACTTTGAGCTTCATATACTAACACTTTTAACTGTAAATAAATACATTATCCATTTATGTTATAGCTAGAAAGTAGGTATGTACTGTAGCTATTTAATGAATTTATTATTTTGGGGGGGGGAATTATGCTATATTTTATCATTTCAACAATATTCTATATTTAGGTAAGACTCTCCTACCTTGAGAAAAGTAATAGAGAGTTTATTTTTTATCATCAGCATCTCATTTTTTGAATATATGTGCCAGATATTTTGCTGGGTGCTATACCAAAAAAAATGCATTTTTATATGCCATTGCTTTCTAAAAGATTTTGAAGCAGCTTAGACATCCAAAGTTAAAAGAGGTTATGGTTTTTAATACAGTTACAGTTATATTATTACAAGCTGAAGGTCTTCACCAGTTGCTCATGAGGTTCAAAGGTCTCTAAGTGAAGAAAGCAAAACAGGAAACATGAGGGTTTACAAGAACAGCAGCGAGGTGGGATTGCTCTCCAGCATGGAACCTGATTTATAAATATTCCACGTTGCTCACTGTTGGCAAATTGATAAATTTTAATAATACACAGAATAGAAATAAGAGTCACCTTTTGTTATGGAAATCAAGTATCCTTACTAGTAAATGAGTAAATGACGAATCTACTTTGGTGTGAAGGACGACAAGGGGAAAAGCCGTGGGGATGATGCTGCCTGCATCTCATTCGTGAACACTGTAACGGAAGGACGGGGTATTTCCCTAGTGCAGTAAATGAAGACGGATTGATAAGAGGCAAAGACTATTTCAATCCAGATGAGACAGGCTGAGTAATAAAGAGAAGGACTATTGCAGGGTGGGAGCATGGCCCTGCCGACACCTCGGTATTGGACTTCTAGCCTGCAGAACAGTGAGAGAATAAATGTCTGCCATTTTAAACTGTCCAGTTGTGGTATTTTGCTCCAGCAGCCCCAAAACTAATACAGCATTAAAAGAATATTTCATGATGACGTAGGAAAATGTTTCTTGGAAAAGTAGTTGAGATTTCAAGAACATGGATTATAAGCATTCATAGAAAACAGATTAGAGAAGTGCAGAATATCTTTTAAAGGAACACGATAAATTATACCAAATCTGACCAAACTATCTGCATAGAAAAGATAAACAAAGAGATAATTGATACAGGCCAGGTCTCTCCATAAAAGTGAAATAGAGATAAATGTGAGTAATTCATTTCTCACAGGACAAAGATGCTAAATGGATATAAAGAAAGAAAAGACTGATTCATAGACATACGACTTTGTGATTGAGACTGACTATTGTGAGAGTTTGTCTATCTTTAAGCCTGGCTTAAAGAAAGCACGAATGGCTGTATTCATGTAGAAAGGAGTGAGTTCACTCTGGGAAAGGTGTGCAAACCAAGTATTAAATACTTCAGAATTTCAAAAAAAAAAAAAACTATGCAACTGTAATTGCTCAGTGCTGTATGCAGGGCAGTGAGTAACTGCTATTCCTTTGCTTATTTTTAGATAAAAGATCTGCCTCCACAGAACTCTTCACCATGACATTTTCACAGCACACGCTATTTAAAGATTTACATCATTTCATCACTCCAGGTAATTTATTTCTTAAGAATGCCATAAAATCTATTTAAGTCATGTCCTGTCTCCCCATGAAATGAAAGGCATCTCTAAAGGGGTTTCAGGATATCTTTCTAGTGTGTGTGTGTTTTACATTTTTGCACTTTCCCAGGAAGAAAGGGAGACAGTGACTCAGTTAATACCGTGTGCTTATCCTCTCATTATTCCTTTCTTGGTTTTGGTGATCATTTGAAATAAATGGAGGGTGTTTGTTCAAGTCTTTCAGGCTGGTGCTCATTAAGTAACAGCGCTCGTCTGCCCTATGTTGTTTTTGTAGTCCAGCCATCAATAAGTAGGATGCTGGTTCTCACCAGTCAAAGTAACCTTTGGAAGCTAGTGTTTCCCTCTTTTCTATTTATTTCTGCTAACATTCAAAGAGAGGGAGAGATAAATTTTTGACACTGATAAACATTTAAAGTTCACACAGTCTTCATATATGGGTGAAGGGTCTCCAATATTTATTTAAAGATGAAGAACTGTCTCATGAGCTGTATGACTCCCTGACTGAATTGTAAAACATCCTTGACTAAGATGCTCATAAAATCTAGATATTAGCACTCATGTATTTTTTTGTTAAGGTAATTTTAGATTCACATGCAATTGTAAAAAATAATAGAAAAATCATCTACGAGTATATTCTTTTTTGGGGATGGCACAGCTCACAAGTGGCCCATGCAGGGATTGAACCAGCAACCTTGGTGTTATCAGCATCAAGTTGTAACCAACTGAGCTAACTGGTCACCCCCTGCAAGTATATTCTTTACCCAGTGTTCCCCGATAGTAATATTGTATAATGCTGCATTGCAACCAGTATGTCAACATTGATACAATCCATTGATCTTATTCACATTTGTCCAGTTTTACTAAAACTTGTGAGTGTGCATGTGTGTATAAGTAGTTATATGCAATCTGTCACATGTGTAGGTTCGCGTATCTTCCATCACAGGCAAAGATGTTAAACAGTCCATCAGCAGAAAGGACCTTCGTGTTGCCTTTTTATAACCAAACCCACCTCTCTCCTGCCCCACCCCTCGCTTCTCCCTGACCCCTGTCCCTAATCCCTGACCACCACAAATCTGTTCTCCATGTTGATAATTTTGTCATTTTAAAATGTTATATTAATGGAGTCCTGTAGTATGTAAACTTTAGAGATTGGCTATTTTTCACCCAGAAGTTTCAAGCAAGTTGTTGCACATGTTAATAGTTTGTTCCTTTTGACATTATGGGCGTATCATAGTTTCTTTAACGGTTCACCTGCTGAAGACCAACTGGGCTATTTCCAGTTTGGGGCTATTATGAATAACACTGGTGTGAACAGCCGTGCACGGGTGTTTATGGGAACATGTTTTTGTTTCTCGGGGATGAATGCCAAGCAGTGTGATTGCTGGATAATATTGAGTTGATGGAAAAGTCATGACGTATTTTTTCTGTTTTCCATTGCAAAAATGCATCATGACTTTTCTGACAACCCAATAGATAATCTAATGGAATATTTCATTGTATACAAATCTTTCCAACTTTTTCAGAATAATCTTCCATCTTACCTTCCCATTAGCAATGTATGAGTATCTGCTCATGATTGCCAACATTTAGTGTTGTCACAATTTTTTATTTTAGCCATTCTGCTAGGTTTGGTATCTCTTTGCCAGGTAATTCCAATATCTGATTTATCTCAGTATGGACCTTAACCTTTGCTGTTGGTTATCTTGTCTCATTCAGGTTGATTATCTTGGTTCCTGGTATGACAGATTCTTTGATTGTATTTTGTCTGTTCTATTAGCAGACCTTAAATCTTATTTAAATCTTTTTTTTTCCCCAAGGTATTTAGAACTTTAATGCCTATGTCTAGTTTTGGTATCAAAATAATGTTAATCTTATAAAATGAGTTAAGGAGTATTCTGTTTTCTGGAAGAGTTTGCTTTCCCCTAAGTACATTTTAAAACATTACTTAGGTATAATTTACATACAATAAATGTGCACTCATTTTGTGTATGGTTTGCAGAATTTTGACAAATGTATGTAACCATGTATGCACCACCACAATCAAGATATCAGCATTTCCATAACAAAAAGTCCCCTTGTCCCCTCAGCCTCCACCCACCTGGCACCAGACAACCACAGATCTATTCTCGATCACTATAGATTAGGTCTGGTTTTTTTTTTTCTATAGTTTCATTTAAATGAACTTAAATAGCGGGTTCTCTTTTGTGTCTCGGTTTTTCCCTCAGCACATTTTTGATACTATGTTGTTGTGTATCAGTATTGTTGTTGTTGTTGTTTTTCTGAATAGTATTTCAAATCACAATGTCACATATCACATCATTTTAGATTGTTTTTAGTTTGGGGCAGTTAAGAATAGGATTGTGAACTTCCAAGTACAAGTATTTGTATGGTCATATGCTTTCATTTATCTTGGGTGTCACTGTTGGTGATATGATATGGGTTAGTTTCACTTTTGCATTTCCACGAGCAATCTATGAGCATTCTGATGACTTCAGATACTTGCCAACATTTGTTATCATCCTTTTGATTTTAGCCATTATTATGCATTTTAGAGGTGTCTCATTATGGTTTTAATTAGTTGATCGTTTATTTTCTGATACACCAATGATGTTAGTGATGATGAGCATCTTTTCATGTGCTTATCATTCATTGTCTTCTTTGAATGTCTATTCAATTCCTTTTCCCATTTTTTAAAAAACAGATGTTTTCTTCTTATTGAGTTGTAAGAGTTCTCAATATCTGGGTAAAAGTCATCATCATATATACATAATGTGAATATTTTCTCCAAGTCAGTTGCTTGCTATTCATTTTTTTTATTAGCTTCAGGTGTACAAAACAATGCAACAGTTATACTTCTTACCCCTCACCAAGTGACAACTCTCCTCCCCCAATCCACCACCCCACTCCCCCCCGATATCATATCATACATATCTATTACAATTCCATTGATTTCACTCCCCACACTATACATCCCATTACTATATATATATTAAATTATAGTTGACATACAATATTATTCAACGTCAGCTTCAGATGTACAGTGCAGTGGTCAGGCCTTTACACCATTCATGAAGTGGTCTCCCTAACCAGATATGTGACCATCTGACACCCTATAAAATATTTACTTATTTACATCTTTTATTTTTAACAAGCAGTTACCCTGTTTACATTTCGCACCAGGTCCTGGCCTCCTTTTGTGGTTTCAAGGGCAGTTCAATTTCAGACCCTTTGCTTTGCTAACTTTTATCTGCTGGGTTTAACTGGTGAAACTGTGGTTCCCATTGGTGCTGACACTGCCAAAGAGGGTAGAAGTGGCTTCAACAGGCCAGAACACTGAGTGTTTCTCAGTATGGAAGAGGATTCTCAGGCCCACTAAAACAAGTCAACTTTCAGCCTTTATCTTACGCAGCCCTTCCAGAAACACTTGACATAGTCAATGAGACCATCCTTTTATAAAAACTCTTTACTATTATAGCTTGGCTTCTGGAATAACAGTTTCTTTCAGTTTTTCTCACTACTTGCTTCTTTTCAGTCTTGTTTGCTAATTTGTTTTTTTTCCCTCCACCTCTAAATCTTAAATAACATTAGTGTCAGGGATCAAAAATTGTCCCTTCTTATTATAGGCGATCTAACAAAGGTGAATGCCTTTAAATACTATCTGTATACTCAAATTTGTATCTTCAGCCCTTACCATCTTCCATGAACACTAGATTCACATTTCTAATGTTCACTCAACATCTCATTGCGACATCTAGTAGTATTTCATTGGTCTAGTTGCTTAAGTAAATCTTTAGAGTAATCTTGACTCCACTTATTTTCTTCACATCATACACCCAATTCATCATCAATGTTCCTGACTCGACCTTCAAAATACATCCAGGCTTAGGCCGTAGCACCACTTCTACCATGAACGTTTTGACCCAAACCACTAGAAGCTATTGCCTGGGTTCTTGCAGTACCCTCCATTCTGCCCTCACTTTTTCACCATTGTCCCTTGCAGTCTTATTATTTACGGTCGATGGTGTGTTTCCTCTGCTCGGAACTCTTGAATGTCCAATGATTTCCCTTCTCACTCAAAAAAAAAAAAGTCAATGTCTTTACAATGCCAGGCAAGGGACTTAATGGTATGACCCCTGACCCCAGCTTCATTTTTCTCGACCGCTGACCATCTCCCACTCACTGTGCTCCAGACATATTTCTGAAGCTTGAGCAGTTTGCTCCTGGCTCCACACCTTTGCGTTTGCTGCTGCTGCTGCTGCTGCTTTTCTTAGGTATTGATATGTTTCACTCCTTTATTATCTTCAGGCATCCATTCTAATGCCATAAATCATGAAGTACTTCCTGATTATCCTATAAGACATAAGTTTCATACTGACAGCATTCTCTATCCCCCTACCTTGCTGCAATTTTATCCATAGCACATAACAGTGGATGACATATATATGGTGTATATCATGTAATATTTATTGAGAGTCTGTTATGTGCCCAGCAATGTTCTGTGCCTCTCTCTCTCGTCTTCTCCGCTGCCCTCCCCTCCCCCCTCTCCCCTCCTCTCCTCTTCCTCTGAGTGCTCTGCACCATTCTTCCTAGCAACACTGTATAGTCTCTATAGGATCAATGTTCCCTGAAAGATCAGTATTTTTCACATGCTCTATTGATGGGAGGCACTTTCAGGAGGGGAAGAAAATCATTTCCAGCCCAGAGTGTATGATGAAAATAGATGCCCCACTTCCCAGAAACACTAACAGCCTCACATTTCCTATGTGCGCCGTTAAACAACCCTGAAACATCAAGTAGTGTACATCACTTTTCTCCATAGCCAAGACGTCGGTTATGGTTTCATAAGGTTTATTTAAGAACTCAAATAAAATTATTATATAAGCCAGATATTGGGAATGATAAGTTGGAAGGAATGAGAATTAAGTTGTAGAGAAAGTACCGTTTATGTAGAAGTAAATTTGGAAAGGAGGCAA